GAGTGAGTGAGTGAATTGAGTGAGTGAATGAGTGAGTGAGTGAATGAGTGAGTGAATGAGTGAGTGAATGAGTGAGTGAGTGAATGAGTGAGCGAGTGAATGAGTGAGTGAGTGAGTGAGTGAATGAATGAGTGAATGAGTGAATAAGTGAGTGAGTGAGTGAATAAGTGAGTGAGTGAGTGAGTGAGTGAATGAGTGAGTGAGTGAGTGAATGAGTGAATGAGTGAATAAGTGAGTGAGTGAGTGAATAAGTGAGTGAGTGAGTGAGTGAGTGAATGAGTGAGTGAGTGAGTGAATGAGTGAATGAGTGAATAAGTGAGTGAGTGAGTGAATATGAGTGAGTGAGTGAGTGAGTGAGTGAGTGAGTGAGTGAGTGAGTGAGTGAGTGAGTGAGTGAGTGAGTGAGTGAGTGAGTGAGTGAGTGAGTGAGTGAGTGAGTGAGTGAGTGAGTGAGTGAGTGAGTGAGTGAGTGAGTGAGTGAGTGAGTGAGTGAGTGAGTGAGTGAGTGAGTGAGTGAGTGAGTGAGTGAGTGAGTGAGTGAGTGAGTGAGTGAGTGAGTGAGTGAGTGAGTGAGTGAGTGAGTGAGTGAGTGAGTGAGTGAGTGAGTGAGTGAGTGAGTGAGTGAGTGAGTGAGTGAGTGAGTGAGTGAGTGAGTGAGTGAGTGAGTGAGTGAGTGAGTGAGTGAGTGAGTGAGTGAGTGAGTGAGTGAGTGAGTGAGTGAGTGAGTGAGTGAGTGAGTGAGTGAGTGAGTGAGTGAGTGAGTGAGTGAGTGAGTGAGTGAGTGAGTGAGTGAGTGAGTGAGTGAGTGAGTGAGTGAGTGAGTGAGTGAGTGAGTGAGTGAGTGAGTGAGTGAGTGAGTGAGTGAGTGAGTGAGTGAGTGAGTGAGTGAGTGAGTGAGTGAGTGAGTGAGTGAGTGAGTGAGTGAGTGAGTGAGTGAGTGAGTGAGTGAGTGAGTGAGTGAGTGAGTGAGTGAGTGAGTGAGTGAGTGAGTGAGTGAGTGAGTGAGTGAGTGAGTGAGTGAGTGAGTGAGTGAGTGAGTGAGTGAGTGAGTGAGTGAGTGAGTGAGTGAGTGAGTGAGTGAGTGAGTGAGTGAGTGAGTGAGTGAGTGAGTGAGTGAGTGAGTGAGTGAGTGAGTGAGTGAGTGAGTGAGTGAGTGAGTGAGTGAGTGAGTGAGTGAGTGAGTGAGTGAGTGAGTGAGTGAGTGAGTGAGTGAGTGAGTGAGTGAGTGAGTGAGTGAGTGAGTGAGTGAGTGAGTGAGTGAGTGAGTGAGTGAGTGAGTGAGTGAGTGAGTGAGTGAGTGAGTGAGTGAGTGAGTGAGTGAGTGAGTGAGTGAGTGAGTGAGTGAGTGAGTGAGTGAGTGAGTGAGTGAGTGAGTGAGTGAGTGAGTGAGTGAGTGAGTGAGTGAGTGAGTGAGTGAGTGAGTGAGTGAGTGAGTGAGTGAGTGAGTGAGTGAGTGAGTGAGTGAGTGAGTGAGTGAGTGAGTGAGTGAGTGAGTGAGTGAGTGAGTGAGTGAGTGAGTGAGTGAGTGAGTGAGTGAGTGAGTGAGTGAGTGAGTGAGTGAGTGAGTGAGTGAGTGAGTGAGTGAGTGAGTGAGTGAGTGAGTGAGTGAGTGAGTGAGTGAGTGAGTGAGTGAGTGAGTGAGTGAGTGAGTGAGTGAGTGAGTGAGTGAGTGAGTGAGTGAGTGAGTGAGTGAGTGAGTGAGTGAGTGAGTGAGTGAGTGAGTGAGTGAGTGAGTGAGTGAGTGAGTGAGTGAGTGAGTGAGTGAGTGAGTGAGTGAGTGAGTGAGTGAGTGAGTGAGTGAGTGAGTGAGTGAGTGAGTGAGTGAGTGAGTGAGTGAGTGAGTGAGTGAGTGAGTGAGTGAGTGAGTGAGTGAGTGAGTGAGTGAGTGAGTGAGTGAGTGAGTGAGTGAGTGAGTGAGTGAGTGAGTGAGTGAGTGAGTGAGTGAGTGAGTGAGTGAGTGAGTGAGTGAGTGAGTGAGTGAGTGAGTGAGTGAGTGAGTGAGTGAGTGAGTGAGTGAGTGAGTGAGTGAGTGAGTGAGTGAGTGAGTGAGTGAGTGAGTGAGTGAGTGAGTGAGTGAGTGAGTGAGTGAGTGAGTGAGTGAATGAGTGAGTGAGTGAGTGAGTGAGTGAATGAGTGAGTGAGTGAGTGAGTGGGTGAGTGAACGAGTGAGCCAGTGAGTGAGCCAGTGAGTGAGTGAGTGGGTGAGTGGCTGCTGGAACAGGAGTCCTCCCTCATGGTAGGTTCTGGGGTGCAGGCGCCCCACTGTCCCTGCCCATGCCGCACTGACCCTGAATCCCACAGGGATGCTCCTTGGGGTGGGGGAGGCCAGAGGAGTCCGATGAGGGAGATAGCCTCCCTATGAATGTTGGGACCCCCAGGACCCCCACCACTCCCAGCAGATACACTTTCAAGGGTCATCTTATCCACTGCCACTCTGGGCAAGTGGGGAAACTGAGGCATGGTGAGGGGCGGGACTTATCCACAGGCATCAGTGAGTCTCAGCCACAGGGGGGAGTTGCCCAGTTGGCCTCTCCTCCCCCACTTGCTCCACACTCCTCACCCCAGTCTCAAGACTTGTGGGGTGCTGGGCCTGGTGCCAGCCCTCAAGGGGTGACTCACTCACTCTACCAAGGATGTTGTCTGTGCCTAGGTCTTTGTTGAAATGTCACCTCTTCCATGAGGCCTTCCCTGATTGCTGAATTTAATGCCCTCCACCTACAGCCCTCTGACCCATCCTGTACTCGTCGGCACACGGTCGCCCGCCCCCCCGGAATGCAGACTCTGCAGCAGGGCACCTGTGAGCTGTTGGGGTTTCTCCAGCACTCCCTAGGGCTCATCGGGGGAGAGGGGGTTGCTGGGGGGTGCCCCTTCTCCTTCACTGGAAACCCCCACGAGGTGCTGGGGGCAGGGATGGTGCCAGGGCGTGAGGGTCACTGTTGTCAGGGGGTGTAAGTGTGGCGAGGCATCTTCTCACAGATATTCCAGCAGAGGGGACAGGGGTCCTGCCTGGTCCTGCACCCTGCCTCAGAGACTTGGGGTCTGGGGGGCTGGGCCTGTTGTCTAGGGGATGGCAGCCCGTGGTGGACCCTGCCTCTGGCACTGGGGAAGATTTGACCTAACAGGATGGCTCTGCCCACCCCAACTTGCCCAACTCCACACCTGCCTATCCCTTCCCAGAGCCTGGCCTTTCCTCCTCTGGGACCCCCAGAAGAGGAACCAGGCAGTGACCATGAGGACATTGGTGGCTGTGGTTGGCCACCCAGTGTGACTCCAACCAGGAGCTGGGAAATTTCACGGGGGGGGGAACCCTGTCCCCTGGGTCCTGCTACAGCATTCTATGACTGTGACTCTAAGGACCCTCCTTCTACAGATGAGAGGCATAGAGAGGGTGGGTATTATCCCCACCATTGAGTCCAGCAGACGCCACTGAGTCCGGCTGGGGCTGGGAGGGGGCTGGGGCTGGACTCTGGAGAAGGGCTGTAGGTCAAAGTCAGGACCAGGAAGGGGCCCTGGATCAGTCCTGGGCCGGGCATTCAGCAGATGGGCTCACTGGAGGGGATGGCCCTGGGTGTGGCCAAGCCTCAGCCTCATGCCTGTCACGCAGGAGCACAAGGGGCTGACTCACGGGTGCTTCCCCGTGTGGATGCCACTGCTGGGACTTGGCCTCTCCAGAGCCCCGCACCTGTCTCTGCAGGCCACCAGGCGAGCTGCAGTCGCCCCAGCCCCAGGCCTGCCCGATGTCCACACCCCCTGTGGGGAAACCCAGTGGGGACCAGGCAGCCCGGAAGTCTGGGGTTTGGGGCTGAGCAGAGTTTCCACAGGGGAGACTGGGGCCAGGCACTGGGGCTTTGAGCTTGGGCTCAACATCTGCAAAACAGGATCGTGGTGCCCGCCTCCCTCCCGGGGGACAGGTAGGGCCCTCTGAGTGCTCAAGAGTGCAGAGTCTCCCCACCTCCCTCAGCCCCACGCGAGGACCTGGACTGGACTCTCAGCAGAGCCTGCGGGGAGCTTGAGTTTCACATCACGGGGGGCGTGGCTTCACTCAGGGGGAGGTTGCAACAGGAAAGCCACAAGGAGGAAGGAAACGCACAGTGTTTTCTTTCTCTGGCAGCAACAGTGACAGCACTCAGGAGCAGCGGGTGGGCTCTCCGGGCTGCAGAGTGGGAGGGGGATGCAGATGCATTGTTGGGGACCACCCCTTCCTGAAAGGAATCCAGGGGCCTGGGGACATGCAGGGAGAGAACTCGCTCAGCCAGCGTCCCCGCCCACAGCGGGCATGAGACTCACACATTGTAACCTGGCCTGGGGCCCCTTCCATGCCCAGCCTGTCCCCACCTCTGCCCCACATGCTTCCTGTAGGGCCCGCCTGTGACCCAGGGTCGGCCCGCCCAGTGGGGCTAGGTCCCTCCTCCAGCTACTGCTGAAGGTTTTCTTTTCTTTTCTGGTTCAGGACAGATAACGATGGCGGCGATAGGCAGTCTCTGTGCTGCAGCTCTTCCTGCTGGCCGAGATCCTGGGCCCATGGGCAGGGCCTGAGGCGTTCCGCGGAGCGACATGGAGCCTCTGCAAGTCTGGGGGCCTGCCCCGTGGAGACCAGAGCCGAAAGCCGACGCCCTGGGTCTGGTGAGCCCTGAGCCTCCCGTCTGTCCACCCCCGCGCCTCCCAGCCCCCACTCCTGCCTCGGGTGGCTCCCAGAGGTCTCCCCTCCCTCAAGCCCCTCCCCTGGCCATGTCTGGGTCCCACCCCCTGGCTCACAGGGGCCTTGGACCCCTGCCCAGGCTGCCCACATCCTCCCGGAACTGGCCTCACCCCAGGGGACAGAAGGGCAGGAGAGGACAGCCCCACACAGCAGAACATCCCCCATCGGTGCCCCCACCCCTACCCCATTTGCAGTAGCCAGTGACTCCCCATGGAGGGATGAGGGCACTTCCTGGGGCTGGAGGCTCTCGGGGAACCCTGAGCTGGGACGTGCCTCTGAGTGGGGGCCTGGAGCAGATAGCAGACCCCCTTACAGTGCTGTCCTGGTGATAAGCTCAATGTCTGTGCAGTGGACACCCAAGCCCAAGGGCTGGAGCTGGGTGGGGACAACCTCCTCACCAGCCTGTCTGCCTGTCAGTCACCCCTCATGAAGCTCCCTGAGTGCCAGGCAGGGTCGTCCCTGGCATGAGGGTCCCGACATGGCCACCCTCACCCAGGGACCCTGACCAGCCTGTCTCCTCCACTCCATCCTGGGAGTCCCTGAGGACTGTCCCCCACTGACCTTCCTGGCTCCCCAGGGGTCAGAGGGTCCAGCATAGACCAGGAGGGAGGCCAGCTGGGTGTTGGCCCAGCAGAGCTCAGGGTTCCCCGGGGTGGGGTGGGGGTCCCTGGTGAGATCAGAGGCCCTGTTCTTGGGGTCCCACATTGACAGGGAGGGGGATGGGGTGGACGAGGGATGGTTCCCACCCCACCCAACCCTGGACTTCAGGGGTCATCCAAGGTCATTCCCTGAGCCTGTCCTGGGGCCCATGTCATCCCCACTAGGGCAGTGCCAGCCAAAGGGGCTGCTGCCTCCCATTTCTCGGAGAGGGAGACTGAGGCCACAGCAGCTGCCCGGGCAGCTCCTCCATCCAATTCCTGTCTCTGTCCCTCCCCCTTAGGCGCTGTGCCTCCTCCTCCTGGGATCCCCCCGCAGCGCCCTGGCCCTGCCCCCATGCAAAGAGGAGGAGTACCCAGTGGGTACTGAGTGTTGCCCCAAGTGCAGCCCAGGTAGGTGCAGCCCCGGGAGGTGCAGCCCCAGGAGGAGCCCGCGCTCCTGCCCTGCCCTGCGGCCCCCACTAATCTCTGTGCCCACCACCATGGGTGGCTCAAGCCCCGGGCCCAGGGGCACAGACAGCGGAGGGCCTGTGGCTTCAACTCTTCACCCCAGGGGGCCCTCGCAGCCGCACCACACGAGGGCTCTGCTGGGGATGCAGCCAGGCCATCATGACCAGAGGCTCGGAGGGGGAACAGGGCCAGAGCCAGGAGTAGGGGTCCCAGGACGCTCCACATTCTTCTAGAACTTTCTGACTTCCCCCAAAGCAGGCACACTTGTGACAGGCAGCTGGGGCCGAATTGTCCCACGGGGACCAGCTCAGGTGACTAGACCCCCATGGATGGTGTCACACCCGCTCAGGGCTCAGGTGGGAGCAATGGGTGGGCTCCCCAGGGTCCTCCTGCAACACTGAGAAGCTGTTCACCCTCTGTGCGGCAGGTTACCATGTGAAACACACCTGTGGGGAGCTGACGGGCACTGTGTGTGTGCCCTGCCCCCCGAGGACCTACACCGCCCACTACAACGGCCTGAGCGAGTGTCTGCCGTGCCGAGTCTGTGACCCAGGTAAGAGGCCAGCTCCGGCCAGCGCCGTCTAGCCCCAGCACCCTGGAGGCCCCGGCACACCCCATCTCCACAGATGCCCCCTGCAGGGCACCCTTCTCGGGAGCCTTAGACTCCACACCTGTCTCACCAGAGAGGAGGCAAGTGCCCCGCCTGTCATTAGGTCACCTGGGCCCTCCTGGGCTTGGTGCCCAACTGTGTGCCTTTGTCCTCGGCTCCTCCAGCTGGGTGACATGGATGGGTGACCCTGTCTCTCCTGTTTCTGTTTTTCTACCTGTAAAGCGGGGTCTTGGGTGGTGCTGGGCACCCTTCAGTGAGTGCCAGGGGCCTGTTCCTCCCCCACTGTGGTTCTCGCCCCTTTCTCTGCCAGATGTTGGGTCCCCCCATGACCCCCTATGGAAGGGGTCACTTGGAAGGCTGGTGTCCAGCTGGGTCCAGACAGACAGGGAGGGGAAGGAGAGACCCTGAAGGAGAACCTTTGGAGTGCTGTGGGCAGAGGCTGCCCTGGGAGGGCAACAGCTCTGTCCCCAACACCCCCCCTCCTCCCTAGCACTGTCCCAAGGCCACCCAGGTCCCCAGATGCCACCTTAGATATATGGTCAGAGTTATAAGGCAAGGCAGGTGACTGCCCATTTTGCAGATGGGGAAGCTGAGGCCCAGAGAGTCACTCACAGCACCCCTAGGTCAACCAGTGGCAGAGCCAGACTTCACCCCGTCTCCTACCTCATATGCCCCACTCCAATGGCTGAGGACTCAAGGCAGTGGGCAGGGAGCTTCCTGATGGGGAAGCAGGGGGACTGCATTAGTCCTTTTTGTGTTGCTATAACAGAATACCTGAGACTGGGGGATTTATAAAGAAAAAGAAAATTTATTGCTTACCGTTTCTGAGACTGGGAAGTCCAAAGTGCATTTGGTGGTGGCAACAGTGACCCAGGGGCTCACACTGCAAGATGGTGGAAGCAGAGAGAGAGAGAGCGAGAGAGAGAGTCAGACTCTCCTCTTCTTTTGAAGCCCTCAGAACCACGCCCCTGACCACCATTATTAACCCATTCTCTCCTGCGCGGTCCTACGATCCTACGATCCAATCACCTCTTCAAGGCCCCATCTTTCAATTACCATAACAGGAGTTCCCACCCTCTTAACAGTCACAGTGGGGGCCAAGTTTCCAATACACAAAACTTGGGGAACACAATTCAAGCTTCAGTGAATTTTGGGGGGACATAACTCAATCCACTACAGGGATCACAGGGACAAGGGCTGAGCAGGGTTGGGGAAGGGGATCCAGACTTAGACAGAACACGGCCAGGCCTCAGGCCACTCTGTTCCCACCTCCAGATGGCCCGGTCCATGCAGGGCCCCAAGTACGGGGTTGACAGTACACCTGGGGGCAGTCCCTGAACCTCCAGGGAGGCCCAGGCAAGTGTCTGGGGAGAAGGGCGTGGACAGAGGAGGAGGCTGGACGGTCTGGGGTTCTGGCAGGTCAAGATTTGTGGCTCAGACCTCCATCTCCACCCACTTTTCCTGCCCGTCCTGCCCCTATCTGGGGACAGCACCTGTCTGATGGGGCCGAGGGTGTGGGGGACACAGATGGCAGATGAGGCTGTCCCTTGAGGGGGCTGGGTCTGGGACACAGGGCCCGCTACTAGCTGAATCAGGAGAGGATCTCACTGTACCCCTCTCTGCTGTCAGATGAGGCTGGTTTGCAAGATGGGAAACGTGTCTGGGGGTAGGTTCTCTAGGGAGGAGAAACCTGGGGCTGGGACCTGCCTCCTTGGGTCCCCCAGAGTGGACAGTGCCATTCTCAGCATCATGTCTGGGCAGAAGGCCTCAGTTTCCCCACGAGAACTGGCCCCCTATCAACAAGACCCTCCTCCAATCTTCTCCTGCCTCTGCTGCTGCTGTCCCTGGGGGCCCCCTTTGGGACTCAGGCCCTCTGTGTCAGGCATCTCTGGGCACCTTGTTTGGCTGAGCTGGGGTGCAGCTTGGCAGGAGCTGCTAGGCAGGGACAGAGTTGGGGCCCAGAAACTCAGACCCATGGAGGTGCAACCTGTCACCTGGCCCCCTCCCCAGTAGGGTGCTGTCTGGTACTTCACTTGCTCCCCTCGGGGACAGGGCATCCCCACCGCCCTTGGCAGCCCTGGCTGCTGCTCTGAGCACCTTTCTTGGGTCACAGCGATGGGCCTGGTCACCAGGCGGAGGTGCTCCAGCACAGAGGACAGCATGTGTGGTTGTAGCCAAGGCCACTTCTGCATTACAGAGGATGGAGACCACTGCACTGTGTGCTTGCCCCACACCATCTGCCGCCCGGGCCAGAAGATGCTGAAGAGAGGTGAGTGGCAGATGACAAATACCCCATCTCAAATCACCCCTGTGCCCAGTGCCCCCTGCCTGGAGCCCCTGTCCCCTCTACATCATACCAGCTCAGAATCATTTGGTGGGACGGAAGCCTTGGCCAGCCCCAGGCTCACCTGTCCCAGCCCTGTCCTGGCAACAGCAGAGGATGGGCACAGCCATGCAGGGAGGCAGGGAAGGGTAAGGCCACTCCTGGTGGCTCTGCCTCATCTCCCGGGGACTTCCAAGTCCTCACGCCTCCCTCTCAGGCCCCAGGCACGGAGCTGGGTTTCTACACTGTGACTGTGGCTGTGATTGTGGTTGATGTCATCGTTCCACCTGTCTGGACTCTGTGAGCCCCAGCTCTCCCACGTCCCCTGCCGGGACAGCCCTTCCTGGCATTTGTGGAATGGCGGCTCAGAGGGGCCCCCGGGCTCCTACAATCCCAGCCCCTTGGTGCTGGGACAGCTCAGAAACCCCTCACCCCTGACCCCGCCCCTGGGGAGAAGGCCAGGACCCTCTTGCGGCTTGGTGCCATAGGTGCCCTCTGCCCATCCCTCTGTGTCTCAGGCACCGAGAGGCAGGACACGGTGTGTCAGGACTGCCCAGTGGGGACCTTCTCTCTCACCAGGGACCAAGAGGAATGTCAGCCCTGGACCAGGTAGGTCATCCAGGGTGGTCTCAGCCCCTGCCCTGGGGAGGGAGCTTCATGCTGCTGCCCTGGGAGACGGAGACGACCTCCTCCAGCAGAAAGACCTGCATGTCCCACGCTGGGCGGCACCACTGCACTGTGCCAGCATCCAGGGGATCCCCTGGGGTGAAGCCTGTGTGCCACAGATAACACGTTACATCGGCCGAGGCCCCGAGCTGTGGCAGGTTGAGCTTCCTGGAGGCTCAGGGTGGGCTTCACCTGCAGCAGACGGAGAGGGGCACTGCAGCCAGGTCCGCTGCCCCGTGGTTGTGGCGTCCCCCAGTGTCAGGGCCGTGAGAGGGCCCCTGTGCTTCTGAAGTTGGGGGGAGGCTGTGAGTTGAAGTTCTCAGCCGGGGGACCCCACTCCTCCTGCACACGACCTAGGGGAACATGGAATAGTCAGACAGACCTGAGTCCACATCCCCGAGCTGCCAACCAACCCGGCCTCCCTGGTGACGACTGTCGCCCCCCTGAGCCCCTGTGGACCGGGACCCTTCCTGGGGTCTGCGTGAGCATCGGCTTGCGGTGGTGCCTGTGCCTGGGCCTCCCGCCTGCCTGGCCGCTGTCCCCTAGGTGCAGTGGCTGGCTAGTGACAGAAGCAGAACCTGGGACCAGCAGCTCAGACGCCACCTGCTCCTCCTCCTGGGTGCTGTATCTTGTGGGTGTCCTTGTCATTGCTGTTCTTCTTGTCACCTTTGGCCTGATCTGGAAGTGGGTGAAAAGGAAAAGGCTGCCAGGTGAGCTGTCCCTTCCTGTCAGGGCTCAGGTCCAGAGCGGTTGACGCTCCATGACTCTGAGGGCTATGTCCCTCCAGAGCATTTTCAGGATCTTTGGCTCCCTCACAGGGATGGCTGCTGCTGGCCTGGGGAGGGGACTTCGTTTCCTGCCCGCAGCCCAGATACCTTGTGGCCTCCATGGGGGTAACGGGAGGTGGAGCCCCCTGACCAAGGAGCTCTCTGTCGCCCCTGCCCACTCAGTGCCACAGTCCCTGAAGTCCTGTCTGCCTCCGGAGACGTGGGGTAGACGTGCTCAGCTGGGAGAGGCCGCAGACTGCAGGGTCAGCAGCTGCCCTGCTGTGGACAAGGCTGCGTCCCCCAAGGAGACTAAGGCTATTCATTCATTCATTCATTCATCCATTCCCTCACCCGGTCATCCGCCCGGTGGTGGCCACCTCTGCTGTGCCAGGTGTCCTAGCTCGGGCACTAGGATCACAGCTGTGTAGACCCCACTGTGGCTTTGGGGAGCCCCATGCCTGGTTCACGGGGGAGCAGGCAGTGAGCAAAGAAACCCAAGGGGAGGGTCAGCCACATTCTCGGGCCACCTGTGTCCTGACCCCTGGGTCTCCCATGTGCAGGAACATCTTGGGAACTCAGGCTCCGAGGGCAATAGCCCAGTCTCCATTCTCATCCAATCTGGGGCACCTGCTCCCTGAGGGGTGGGTGGAAGACCCTCCTACGTGAAGTGCTTATTCCACTTACATGGATGACGGGTGGGGAGGTGGTTGGGGGTGCCGCAGGCTTCTCACATGTCCTCCATCTGGGGACAGGCCCAGCAAGGGGCCCCGACCGTACTCCATCTCATCTTGAGGGTCAGTCTCTTGGGGAAGGTCACACAGGGAGAAACTGGGACTGTATCGTCCGCCCACCGCACCCCTGTTGCTGTGTCCCTGTATCCCCTGGGCAGAGGCTCTGGCTCTTCTCTGTGATGTGTGTCTTTGTCTTGCAGACAATGTGGTCCGGGCGATGGTCTCTTTCCAGGTATTGTGCCTCAGCTGCCCTCCCTGCTGCCCACCAGAGGTGAAGTTGAGGGGGTGGGGCCTCCTAGTTCTTAGAGGGTCTTGAGTCCTTGGTCTACAGCCATGGTCATTGTGAAGAGGAGGACACAACTCTTCAAATGATAAACCACAAAGTGACCCCCCGAAGCACATGGCCTGGGGGCTGCGTGCATCCGTGGGCAGGGTCTTCATGCCGCGTTCATCTGGCAGGGCAAGAGACGGGAGACTACAGAAGCCGAGGCCACAGTCTCTCAGGCTCAGCAGTCCCCACCAGACGTCACCACAGTGGCTGTAGAGGAGACGGCACCCATATTCACTATGAGGGACCAGAACCGCTGATGAACAGGCTCTGGTACTAGACGTCTGAAACATCTCAGGCTACACCAGCTGAACGTGCTGCCCACCTGCCGAGACCTCGGGAGCCAGGGGAGCTGTGCCACCTGCTCTGGGCTTGCTCCAGCCTCCTGTCTGCAGAGGGAAAGATGGGGACACTGCCTAGAGGGGTGTGGACGTCCCGTGCCGTCTCCATCAGTTAAATAAGGGCCCAGAGCCCTCCCCTCGCCCCCAGGGCTGCCTTCCAAGGTGCCCGTACTGTGAAGACAACAGCAGCCACATTTGCCTCCTCCCAGCCAGCCCAGGACGGCCCTGGCCTGGCCCAGTTCTCTGCCTCTCCTCAGTCCTGCTGGGCCTCAGCGGGCTTTTCTGCAGGACGGCCCGTGGGCGCTACCTCCCAGGGCTGGGACTGGACTCGGTGGGCCACGGATGTGGCATTAAATGAGTGTTCTCAGTTTTTGTATTTGTAATAAACAAGTGTATTGCAGCAAGATCCTTTGAGACTGTGCAGCTACTGTGTTTCTCGTCAAACTCTTATGCACTGGTGATTCTTGCCTGCACGGTGACTGCGTGACAGTCGCTGTGATTCCGTCTTCTTTCCACCCTAGCTGGCGGGCATCCCACTGAAGGGCAGCTGCCCTGTTAACGTGTTTCTGTATGTATTTATTTACTTACTGACCTCATGGTTTCTGATTTTGCCTGTTGGATCCCGATGCATCACTGTGGTTAGTTATTGTCCACGGGTTTTCTGTGGCGTCCCTATCCCTTCCAGCAGGTTCTGGGATTCTTTGATATTTCTCCACCATTCCTTGACAACTTCCTAATCTCTGGATCAACAGGATGCTCCAGGCTCATCTCGTTCCTTCCCAGCCCCATTCCTGGGATCAGCCGTTTCTGCAAAGAGCCCTGCTTGTTTTTATGGGGCATGTTCTTTAGGAGCCACCGCTGGGGGCTGGGTGTGCTCAGTGTTATGGGGGTGTTGGTGCTTGAGGATTTCACTCTGGGACAAGTTAGGAAATATACACCCACCCATCGTAGATATAAATACAACTGTAGACACAGATACGTGTACACAGATGGATTGATAAAGATCTAAGAATGACTTCACACCCATATCTGCAATTCCAGACCAACGTGACCACGTGCATTCTCATATGCCTCTCTCTGCCAGTGTAACTCCCCGCCTGGCAGATGCCTGTCCCCTCACTTGCTCGGCCCTGGCAGGCACAGAGAGCAGTCTCAGAACAGCTGCCATGTGAGAATCCCGCCAGCCAGTTGGGTTTAGTGTTTGTTTTCAGTTCTTTCTTTCCTTAGCTTTAGGGTTTGTAGACCAAATACTGTAGAAAGTTCCATGGGTTAGTTTTTATCTTTTTCTTTTCGGTGTGCTTGTTTTATTCTTTGCAATATGCTATTCTTTATCTGAGTTTAAATTCTGTTATACACAACATATCTCAATGTTGAACCCCCAAAATATGTATAATCAATTTTGATTCAATAAAAGTAAATAAATAAAATAAAAATAAATTCTGTTACACAGGCTTTTCCCTCATTCTTGTTGGCTCTGTCTAACCTATCTATCGACCCACTTATTTTTTAATCTGTGGAACGTTACCAAGGACTGAAATGTTGATGTTAGTGGTCTTGGTGTTCCAGTTAAAAGGCAGAGATTGGCAGATTGTGACTATCTGCTGTCTACCTGAAGCCCATCCTAAATATAAGATTCAGGTAGAGTAAACTGAAAGGCAGGAGGTTGGCCAGTTAGCTCAGTTGGTTGGAATGTGGTGCTGATAACGCCAAGGTCAAGGGTTCAGATCCCTGCACCGGACAGCAGCCAAAAAACAAACAAACAAACTAACAAAAAACTAAAGCAGGATTAAGACCGTATCAATACCATATGCAGTGGGCCTAAGTGCGAGGATTCTAACAAAGTGTGAGGAGGGCCTTTTAGTAATACCAAGGGCTCAGTTCACCAGGATGTCACACCATTCTGAGATGCGTATTCACCCCATAACAGAGCCTCGAACAATTCATAAACATTCACAGAAGTAGACGGAGGATTGTAACTCACTGTGCAATTACAACTGGAGACTGAACACTCGTCTCTCAGGCACAGACAGAACAAGTATTTAGACTAAAGACCACTGGGGACAGAGGGGGCCTGGACAGCCCTCTGCCCAGCAGCGCAGAATCCACGCTCTTTCCACATGCTCACAACTGTCAATCGGGTACAGGGTGTACCGGACTCAAAACAGGTCTCGGTGGATTGAAAAGCATTGGAATTGTAGAGAGCAGATGCTCCTCAGCTAGCCTCTGGCCCCCAACCATTGGTGGCCACCCGAGGCTTCTGGAAGGGCTCTGGAGAGTGTCCACCCTGCAGCCCCCACAGGTGTTTCTTGGGGGTCCCCAGAGTGAGTGTTCTCAGGGCCACACTTACCTGGGCTACCTGAGAGGTGCACCTGGAAGCCCTGATGCTCTTCATCTTTGCAGCCCAGCAGCCAATGGCAGGACGCTGGTCCAAAGCATGTTGTTTTCTTCTGATATTTCAACATTTGGGGCCTTACTCACCCCGAGGAGACTGTCCTCCCAGATCTAGCCAATTCCCAGAGGTTAGCACACACTCACCAGAGCCCACCTTTCGAGGGCAAACCAGCCAACCCACAGCCCACCCCTCACCGCCTCCCCAGGGCTCTCACACTCCAGGCCAAAATTCCCCTGCCCCAGTCACCCCAGGGCCCATTCCAGGCAGCTGGGGCAGCCCTGCACCCCAGAGCCCGCAGAAATGATCTCACCAGCCAACCACGAGCCTGTGCACCCCGCCTGGCCTGGCCTTTCCCATGGAAACCACAGTGAAGGCCCTGCCTACGTTTCCCCCTCGTCCCCTCCACCTCCTGACAGACACGATGCTTCCTGGGGGGCCCCCCATGGTGTGGTGTAGTAGACTGAATTATGCCCCCCAAAACTCACTGAAGCTTGACTTGTGTCCCCCAAGCTTTATGTATTAGAAACTTGGCCCCCACTGTGACTGTTAAGAAGGTGGGAAATCCTATTATGGTAATTGAAAGGTGCAGCCATGAAGAGGTGATCGTAGGACCGTGCAGGAGTGAGTGGGTTAATAATGGTGGTCAGGGGCGTGGTTCTGAGGGTTTTAAAAGAAGAGGAGAGTCTGACTCTCTCTCTCTCTCTCTCTCTCTCTCTCTCTCTCTCTGCTTCCACCATCTTGCAGTGTGAGACCCCTGGGTCACTGCTGCCACCACCACATGGACTTTGGACTTCCTAACCTCAGAAATGGTAAGCAATAAATTTTGTTTTTCTTTATAAATCACCCAGTTTCAGGTATTCTGTTACAAGTAACAGGAACAGACTAATACGCGTGGTGTGTCCCCTCCTCGCGGGAACTGTGAGTAACGGCTACTTTCTCAATGGCGGTCGCCTCCTGATCTGCTGGCCTACTGTCCCTGAATTATAATGAAACCTACATTTCAGAACAAAGGCCCTAGACGGTGAGGGAGCCCTGTGCCTCAGAGGTGGGTGGAGGGTCCTCTGGAGGGACAGGGCCTGGGTGGGGACCTGGCTCTTGGCCCAGCTTTCCTACTGCCCCCAGTGGGTGGGGCAGCTCAGCTTCCCAGAGAGGGATCCTCCTGGGTGTCCATGTGGGGGTGTCAGATGGGCAGAGGGAGACACTGGACCGTGATGCAGCCTCACAAAAACCTCAGCTCTGAGTCACCTCCTGGTCTGGTGATGGGGTCTTCTCTGCATACAGCACATCCACCGGTGCCTGGGCAGGAGCTGCCCATGCAGAGCGCGCTGCGGGCACCACTGCACCACCTGCTCCTGCACTGGGTCTGGGAGCAGCTGTCCAGGTCAAAGGCTTCCCGGGGCCCCCGGCCGCAGCAGGTCCTGCCTGCTGCACACTCGTGTGGGTCACCTCATCCTTTGCCCACTGGGTCACCTCATCCTTTGCCTGCCAGGTCACCAAGGGACCCATACCCTTAGCTATGAGCGCATGAGCCTGGTCACTGTGCCCTTCGCCAGCCCTGTCTGCTGCACCTGTGCTCTGTCTGCCACAACCAGGTGGGGCGTGCCGAGGGACGTCCAAGCACCGCCAGGGGCCTCCTTTCCCTGCCTGCTAGCCTCTTGGCAAGAAGAATCCTCCATGACCAGATGGTGGCCACAGCTTGAGGTTTACTGGGACTTTTGCTGTGTTCCTGGTGGAATGCCCGGCCCCCTCCTCCATTATGGGAACCGGGATGCTGGCTAGGATGCAGTGGGGACAAGTGGTGGCTTTGGAGGGGCCGTTTGTGTGACTGAGAAGGTACCGGGCCAGTTCTGCTGGGTGGGGATGCCACTGGGGGGACCAGAGTGGCTCAGGGTGGGCTCTGTAGGAGGCAGGAGTTGACAAGGCAAAGCAGAGGGGACGGGAGGGCAGGAGGCGTGCCATGCTGGGAGGTGGGGCCTTCAGGGGTGTGTCTTTGGGGTGAGGACCCCTCTCCACTTCTGCCCTCATCCTACGGTTTCTCTTGGGACATGCCCCTAACCAGTTCCACCTCTAGATGTGGGACAAGGGGCCTCCTCTCACCAGCACAAAAGGAATGCCAGGATTAAGGAGGCTGTGGGGACGCCCCTGTCAGCCTGGCCTGGGTCCCGTGGAAGAGCCTGAGTCAGGGCTGCACACACAACGAATGTCACCGACTCTAGGATTTCTCGGGGTACACAGAGAATGTGAATCAGATGTGGAGCTGGGGCGCTCACTAGACAAACCTGGGATGACATGAACAACAAAATGAGTGACAGGACAGTGGGTGACGCTGCTGAACACAGTGAGAATCCATGAGGGCACCGTGTCGTGAGTGAAGAGAGGGGGAGATGCGCGTGGATCACGACGTGGACAGCGCAGAGAAGAAAAACTTACGACAACAGCAAAACGCACGGGAGGGGAAGGCGGGTGGTACCGTCGTGGATTCTTTCATGTCACCTTTTTTTTTCCCTTTTTGTCTTTTTTCGTGTCTGGCAATGGACCGCAACCCTCAGTGTTGCACCCGTACTGGGCCGGGACCGGCAACGGGATCGCAACCCTCAGTGTCGCACCCGCGCCTCGCTCAGCCAGTGAGCGGGAACCGGTCTGTATGTGGGATCCGAACCCTCGGCGGGAGTGCCTCCGCGCTCCCAAGCGGTGCACTGTAGCATGCGCCACCGGGCCGGCCCTTTCATGTCACCTTTTAAGTGGTGACACACCTTGGAGATGCACGAGCAGGAGTGAAGATGCACCGCAAGTCCTCGGGCAGCATGGCTCCGAGCCGCGCAGGGGCACTCGCACACAGGTTCTCTTCAATGGACGTATCGAGAATGTTCGCTGGGGGGTCCTGAGTGCATCCAGTTAGGAAGCCTTCCTCCCGGCAGCCTACTGAGGTCGGAGGAAGGGTCTGGGGTCCTGATGGTCGGCCTCAACCTGCCCCGTCCTCTTACCAGGTTCTTGACTCCGCCAGAGGAAAGAATTCAAGGGCAGAGTCACAGCAGACAGTGAGAACAGGTTTAATACAACAGATGAGAAATGCAGGTTCCATGCAGAGAGGGCGGTGCGCTCCAGAGACCGAGCAGGGCCCACACCGAGTCTAACACTAAAGTAAGTTCAGTACAGACACCGAGAGTCTAACACAAAAGCAAGAAACACACATACCTAAAGTTCAGTACAGAGAGCAGGCTGGCTCCGGAGGCCCAGCAGCTGCTGCTGAAGGTAAGTTCGACCCAAAGTAGAGTAGACACGCCTCAGTCAGGGAAACACAGGTGCCTCCAGGTAAGTGAGCAGCACCGACCCCACTGCCCCGCCAGCCTTGGCCTGGGATTGGGCTTTTACAGTTTCGCTACCTAATGAAAATTCAACAAAGGGGGTGGCTCCCAGTTAGGTAACATAGTCTCACACATGCTCAGTCGGTCTTTCCTGGAGCATGTTCATTGGTCAGACCGTATCACATGCACGAGGCTATTCAAGAATATTCCGTGCTCTCTACTGAGCACGCCCAGCCACTGGATCTGCATAAGCCAAACCCTTGTGGTCTCGTTTTCCCTGTGTTGGTGCTGAAAACAGGTCTAACTGGCAACAGTAACTTTTCTCTAAGAAAGAACCTAGAGGAGGGGGCCTGAGACCTCAGGAGTTTCTGGAAACCCAGAGGAGTGTCCTAAAACCTGAACCGAGGGAAACTCAGCCTCTCCGGTATCATTGCCCTGGTACCTCTCAGTGTGTCCTAATCTCCTTTTCTTATAAGAACACCCGGGACTGCCCGAACCACCTCATTCAGCCTTAACTGGCTCCTTAACCCTCCCCAAATCACCCAGCACGGCCCAAATCCCACAACATTCCTCCCTGATGCCTCTCAATGCCCCAATCCCACACCCCGCAGGGCCCTGACGCAGCTGTGGGCTGCTCAGGTGAAGCGGCTGCAGGAAGCACACAGCTCTCACGGCCTGGCCCCTGTCCATCACCCGGGAGCACAACCTGGGTATGACCGGCTGGAAGACTCTGGACGCCCACCCACGCAAACGTGCACACGCAAACGTGCACGCCACCCTGGGACACTCGTACCACCAGGTGTGACGGTAGCGCAGCCTACAATCCTGTTTTAAACTCCTGAGCTCGCCCCTGCGCTTCTCTGCGTCTGGAGTGCTGGTGTGTTTCCCCGGGGGCCCGATGGTGGGTCCAACTTTCACTTTCTGCCACACTCACTTCTGCATTGCTCGAGGCTGTTGCATCAGCACGTTTCACTTTCACGGGACAAGGCTTATCGAAAGCTTGTCAAGAGACGTGTGAATGTCCATTGCTGTGGGAGGGCCAGGACCCCATGGTTGCCCCAGAAGGGAGCCCCGCCAGCCGTTGCCCGTTCCGGTCTGCTGCACAGCCCTGTCCCCATTCTCCGGGCCGGGTCCCCTCTCTCCCACCGCCCACCCCTCAGCCCTAGACTGTGTGATTCAGAAATGATTCGGGTCCGGCCCCTGCCCCAGGGGCTCCTCCAAGGCTTGTACTCACTCCCTGCAGCAGCGTGCCCGCTAGTCAGGAGGCGGAAGCAGCCAGCTGTCCCTCCATGGGTACAGAA